TCCCTGCAGTGACAGCTCACCTGTGCCTGTGCCCGAAAAAGAGCACCTTCCCTCCCTGCAGTGACAGCTCACCTGTACCTGTACCTGTGTGTGCACCTTCCCTCCCTGCAGTGAGAGCTCACCTGTACCTGTACCTGTGTGTGCACCTTCCCTCCCTGCAGTGAGAGCTCACCTGTACCTGTACCTGTGTGTGTACACCTTCCCTCCCTGCAGTGACAGCTCACCTGTACCTGTACCTGTGTGTGCACCTTCCCTCCCTGCAGTGAGAGCTCACCTGTGCCTGTGTGTGCACCTTCCCTCCCTGCAGTGAGAGCTCACCTGTACCTGTACCTGTGTGTGCACCTTCCCTCCCTGCAGTGAGAGCTCACCTGTGCCTGTACCTGTGTGTGCACCTTCCCTCCCTGCAGTGACAGCTCACCTGTACCTGTACCTGTGTGTGCACCTTCCCTCCCTGCAGTGAGAGCTCACCTGTACCTGTGCCTGTGTGTGCACCTTCCCTCCCTGCAGTGAGAGCTCACCTGTGCCTGTACCTGTGTGTGCACCTTCCCTCCCTGCAGTGAGAGCTCACCTGTGCCTGTACCTGTGTGTGCACCTTCCCTCCCTGCAGTGAAAGCTCACCTGTACCTGTACCTGTGTGTGCACCTTCCCTCCCTGCAGTGAGAGCTCACCTGTGCCTGTGTGTGCACCTTCCCTCCCTGCAGTGAGAGCTTTCGCTCCTGCAGTCTTCTCTCTTTACTGCCTGTTTCTTTCCTCTTTTTTTCTTCTAATAACAAATTGTTGTTTTATAAAACGGCTGCTCTTAGCTGTTCTGCTTGAATTACCACCTCTCTCCTCATATTCTGTTTTTTACAGGGGCCCTAAAGGACATTACCTTGTTGTCAACTTGCTTTTTGGAATAGCCTTTCTGTCTAGCTCGTTTTCCATCTTGACTGTCAGAGAGCGCCGAATTAAGGCCAAGCACATCCAGTTTGTCAGTGGTGTTTACTTGTGGGCTTACTGGCTCTCCGCTCTGCTCTGGGACCTCATCTCCTTCCTCGTCCCCACTCTGCTGATGGTGGTGAGTGCTGGGTCAGATCACAGGGAACTTGCCTGGGGGTCCCCCGTACAGCTCCAGAACCAGCCGGAAGCTCAGCCCTGACTGAGATTGGGGTGTGAAGCTCCTTCGTCGCTGCCCCTCAGGCATCACTGGGAGCAGAGGGACCTGCCATGGGGCCTTTTTTTCTTTTAAAGGGCTGTGATTTTTTTTTCAGTTTTATTTGTTTGCTTGAAAGAGTGACAGAGAGAAGGAGAAACTGAGAGAGAGAGAGAGAGAGTCAGAGAGAGAGAGAGAGAGAGAGAGATCTTCGTTCACTGGTTCACTCCCTAAATGTCTGCAGAAGCTGGAATGAACCAGCTGAAGCCACAAGCAGGAACTCTTTCCAGGTCCCCCACGTGGACGGCAGGGAGCCAGGGTTTTGGGCCATCATCCGCTGCCTTCCACACACATTAGCCAGAAGCTGGCAGAGGCTTGAGGAATAACATTTCCGTGAAATGCCTAGGAGCAGAGGCAGGCCTGGATTCCAGGCCCTCTGGAATAGGGTGTGGGTGTCCCAAGCATCGGCTTGATCTGCTGGGCCCCAGTGCCCACCCCTGCCCTAGGATCTTTAAGTGACAACACGGAGTCGCGGCCTCAAGCTAATCAGAGGCAGTGCTTTGAGGATTTGAGTTTGTTGTGCAGAAATAGCTCACCAGGATATTGATGGGCTGAAATATTTGATTAGGATTGAATTGAGTAATTTGAGGGTTTCCTGGTTACTTTTGTAAAGGTTATCAGGAAGATTTTTTTTAAAGATTTGTTTATTTCATCTGAAAGGCAGAGCTGTAGAGAGAAAGGGAGACACAGAGAGAGAGAGAGATTCTCCATCTGCTGGTTCACTCCCCAAATGCCTGCAACAGCCAAGGCTGAGCCAGACTGAAGCCAGGAGCCCAGTACTCCACCTGGGTCTCCCATGTGGGTGGCAGAGAACCAAGCACTTGAGCCATCACCTGCTATGTCCCCCAGATTGCATTAGCAGGAAGCCGGATCAGGAACAGAGTAGCCAGGACTGAAATCTGCATTTTGATATGAGATGTAGAATGTCTGAAGTGGCGGCTTAATCTGCTATTCCAGATGCTGGCCCCTGCCTATGTGTTTGTTTCTGTTTGTTTGTTTTTAAGATTCATTTATTTTTTATTTTTTATTTATTTTTTATTTTTTACAGGCAGAGTGGACAGTGAGAGAGAGAGACAGAGAGAAAGGTCTTCCTTTTGCCGTTGGTTCACCCTCCAGTGGCCGCCGCGGCTGGCGCGCCGCAGCCGGCGCACCGCGCTGATCCGATGGCAGGAGCCAGGTACTTATCCTGGTCTCCCATGGGGTGCAGGGCCCAAGCACTTGGGCCATCCTCCACTGCACTCCCGGGCCACAGCAGAGAGCTTGCCTGGAAGAGGGGCCACCAGGACAGAATCCAGTGCCCCGACCGGGACTAGAACCCGGTGTGCTGGCGCCGCAAGGTGGAGGATTAGCCTAGTGAGCCGCGGCGCCAGCATTTATTTTTATTTGCAAGAATTAGAAAGAGAGGGAGGGCCATATCCTCTACCAGCTGGTTCACTCCCCAAATGGCCAGAACAGCTGGGGCTGGGCCAGGCTGAAGCCAGGAGCTAGGAGCTTACTCTGAGTCTCCCATGTAGGTGCAGGGGCCCAAACACTTGGGCCGTCCTCCACTGTTTTTCCCAGGCCATTAGCAGGGAGCTGGATCAGAAGTGAAGCAGCTAGGACAGGCACCGATGCCCATACGGATGCTGGCACTGTAGATGGTAGCTTAGCCCACTGTGCCACAATGCCAGCTGCTGCCTGTGTGTCTTGTAGACACCTCTGGACCACTTATCTCCCTGCACTGTGGCAGGTGCTGGTCGTCTCTGCCTTGCTGGGGGAAGGGAAGGGAGGTACCTGGGCGTGTGGCAGGTACCTTCCTTCTGAACCTGGGATGATTCTGTTCTTTCTCCAGCTGAGGACTGACTGACAGTGGCTTTTCCCAATTCTTCCCACTCCCCCTTCCTGAGGTGGTGTTTCTGTACTACAATGAAGAAGTGTTTACACACCGTGGAAACATCCTTGCTCTTGTCTTGATGTTGATTCTCTATGGCTGGGCTATCATCCCCCTCATCTACATAATCAGCTTCTCCTTCGAAAGTGCCAGCCACGCCTGCGTCAAGCTGGTCGTCATGCTCACCTTCTTGAGCATTGGCCCCATCATGCTGGTCACCGTCACAGCCGAGCAAGGTGAGCACTGCTTAGCCACATCCCACGGAGCTTTAATTCCCCCTGTGGCAGCCGCAGGGGTTGTACCTGCCCCAGAGTGTGTCTCCCAGGGCAGCTGTGGTCTGGAACACACACTTCGAGGAGAACAGATGAACTAGCGGTGTATTCCTTCTGTGGATTGCTGTGACAACAACACAAGAGCGTGCACAGTGTGGAGTGAGAGGGAACACCATGTGGGGGCGGTCTGTGCAGTCCACAGACACACTCCTAACGCTAGGCTAGCATCTGGAAAGCAGTCGTGTCTGGGTTAGGGAAGGGCATTGACTGAAAAAGAGAGGTTAGTGAACTTCGTGAAGCGATGAAATACCCTTTTTCTCCTTGGGGATACTGGTTATGGGAACTTACATATTTACCACAATTTATCCTAATTCATCACATTTTCTACTTTTTTTGAAAAAAGGTGTATTTATTAGAAAGTCAAGAGTTGGCTGGCGCCACAGCTCAATAGGCTAATCCTCCGCCTTGTGGCGCTGGCACACCAGGTTCTAGTCCCGATCGGGGCGCCGGATTCTGTCCCGGTTGCCCCTCTTCCAGGCCAGCTCTCTGCTGTGGCCCAGGAGTGCAGTGGAGGATGGCCCAAGTGCTTGGGCCCTGCACCCCATGGGAGACCAGGAGAAGCACCTGGCTCCTGCCATCGGATCAGTGTGGTGCACCGGCCACAGCGGCCATTGGAGGGTGAACCAACGGCAAAGGAAGACCTTTCTCTCTGTCTCTCTCTCTCACTGTCCACTCTGCCTGTCAAAAAAAAAAGAGTTACAGAGAGACACAGAGGAAGATCTTGCATCTGTTGGTTCACTCCATAGATGGCCACAATGGCCAGGGCTGGGCCAGGCCAAAGCCAGGAGCCAAGAGCTTCATCCAGGACTCCCACGTTGGTGACAGGGACTCAAGTCCTTGAGCAATTCTTTTGTTGCTTTCCCAGGGAGCCAGATCAGAAGTGGAATAGCCAGGACACGAGCCAGCACCCACATGGGGTGCCAGTGTCACAGGCTGCAGCTTTACTTGCTATGCCACAACACTGGCCCCAGATTTTCTACTTATGACCTATGCATTTCACTGAAATGTTATTCCTCAAGAGAAAGATAAAACATCAGTAAAGAAAGACAGCTGGTGCGGGGAGGGGGCTGCTTGGTAAGTGTGTCATTGGAGTAGAGGAAACCAAGGTGGGCATCGTCCACGCTACGCACCTGCAGCTGGCCCTTTCTGGTCAGCGTTGGGCACACTGATGTTCTGCCTCTGTAGTGCTCTTTTTCATTTGCATTGATGAACACCTCTTTCAAATTGACTTTGGATTTTTGTTTTTGTTTTTTGGTTTTTTTTTTGCTTAAAAGTAGGTTAACAGGGATGGGTGCTGTGATACAATGGGTTGGATGCCCAAACCCCATGAGAGTGTGGTCCAAGTCCCAGCTACTCTGTTTCTGATCCAGCTATCTTCTGGCGAGGCAGCAGATGATGGCCCAAGTTCTTGGGTTCCTGACACCCATGTGGGAGACCCAGGTGGAATTCCTGGCTCTTAGCTTTGGCCTGGCCCAACCCTGGCTGTTGTAGGCATTTTGGGGATGAATCAGTGGATGGAAGAGCTCTCTCTTCTTCTCAGTGCCTCCCTCTCTCTCTCTCTCTCTCTTTCTCTCTTTCTCTCTCTCTGTCATTCTGCCTTTCATATAAATAGTTTAACAGCTTCCCTCTGCTTAAAAAACAAACAACAAAAAAAGACCTTTTTTTTTTTTTTTACAGAAAAGTCTTTGAGAGACAGAGGGAACTGTCATCTGTTTGTTCCCTCCCCAGATGCCTACAACAGCTGGGCTTGGGCGGGGTAGAGGAGAGGGTGGCTAGGGAAGGGCGAGGCTGGGACTCTAGATCCCCAGCTGGGTAACAGGAGCACACTCACCTCAACCTTTACCATGCCCTGGCTTTTATCTTGGAGTCATTGTTTCTTTTTTTTTTTTTTTAATTTTATTTGAAAGGCAAAGTTATAGAGAGGCCGAGACGGGGAGGGGGTCTTCCATCCATTGGTTCACTCCCTAGATGGCCACAATGGCCAGAGCTGCACCAATCCGAAGCCAGGAGCCAGGAGCTTCTTCAGGGTCTCCCAGGTGGGTGCAGGGGCCCAAGGACTTGGGCCATCTTCTACTGCTTTCCCAGGCCACAGCAGAGAGCTGGATCGGAAGTGGAGCAGCCGGGACTCACGAACTGGCGCCCATATGCGAAGCTGTTGCTTCAGTGCTGGGGGGCCCCCTCATTGTTTCTTAAGTGTGTGCAAACGACAGTGTTGTTCCCACAGGGTGTAAAGGCAGGGACTGTGTGTGCACCTGTCCTAATGTGAAGCTCATGCACCCTGGAGGTTGACCCAGCAGACCCTGCTCTGTCTGGGCCCAGCTCACTTGTCCACCTCTGCAATGCAGCCATGCTCCTGCTGGTGTTCCCACACACAGTGCCCGCTCTCCTGCTCTGTGCGTGACCAGGTGCTGGTGTTCCCACACACAGTGCCCGCTCTCCTGCTCTGTGCGTGACCAGGTGCTGGTGTTCCCACACACAGTGCCCGCTCTCCTGCTCTGTGCGTGACCAGGTGCTGGTGTTCCCACACCCAGTGCCCGCTCTCATGCTCTGTGCGTGACCGGGTGCTGGTGTTCCCACACACCCAGTGCCCGCTCTCATGCTCTGTGCGTGACCACGTGCTGGTGTTCCCACGCACCCAGTGCCCGCTCTCATGCTCTGTGCGTGACCGGGTGCTGGTGTTCCCACACCCAGTGCCCGCTCTCATGCTCTGTGCGTGACCGGGTGCTGGTGTTCCCACACCCAGTGCCCGCTCTCATGCTCTGTGCGTGACCGGGTGCTGGTGTTCCCACACACCCAGTGCCCGCTCTCATGCTCTGTGCGTGACCGGGTGCTGGTGTTCCCACACCCAGTGCCCGCTCTCATGCTCTGTGCGTGACTGGATGGAAGCACGGTGCTCTGGAGCAGCACAGCAGGAGAGAAACACGCACGGCCTGGAGGCTGAACGGCCACAGAGGAAGGGGGACAACCTAGAGATGCACAAGTCAGGGAAAGCCTTGCAGGCCTGGGAGTGTGATGGTCCAGTGACGGGGCAGGGTTAGAAGATATGTGGGACAGTGTGCCCTTTTCTTTTCTTTTTTTAAAAAATTATGATTTTATTTGAAAGGCAGAATGACAGAGAAACAGAGAGGTTTTCCATCTGCTACGTCAGTCCCCAGATGGCTACAACGGCTGGGGCTGGGCCAGGCCGAGGCTAGGATTCTGAAGCCCAGAGCTCAGAACTCATCCTGGTCTCTTACATGGGTGGCAGGGGCCAAGAACTTGGGCCGTCTTCCACTGCTTTCCTAGGCACATTAGCAGGGAGCTGCAGCAGAAGTGGAACAGCCGGGACTCTGAAACCAGCACTCTGATAGGGGATGCTGCACCACAAACAACAGCAGCCCCAAGGATATGTTTTTTAAATATTGATTTGTTGGTTTATTTGAAAGGAAGAATTAGAAAGGGCAAGATGGGGGTGCGCAGAGAAAGAGACTTCTGTCCATTAGTTCACTCCCCAGAAAGCCACAATGGCCAAGGCTAGGCCAGGCCAAAGCCAGGAGACTGGAATTCCATCCAGGACTCCTATGTAGGTGGTAGGGGCTCAGTCACTTGGGCCATCTTCTACTGCTTTCCCAGGCACATTAGCAGAGAGCTGGATCACAAGTGGAACAGCCAGGACTTGAACCGGTGCTCATACGGGAGGCCAGCATCACAGCCACGGCCTAACCCACTGTACCAAGGATGTGCTTTTCTTTTCCGTCAAGTAAAGTTACTATTTTCTGTTCCTTTCAGACCTGGGTTATGAAGCAATCTCAGAGAACCTGGATCACGCGTTCCTCGCACTCCCGGGCCACTGCCTGGGGATGGCTTTCTGCAACTTATATTACAACTTTGAACTACAGAGGTTTTGTAGTGTCAAGAACCTGAGCCAGACTGAGTGCAATGAAGCTTGTAGGTAGAATAAGTGGAATTACTGTATTTTCATTTGAGTCTTGCAAGTAGTATAAATGGAATTTATTTTCATTGAGATACAGTTCACATAAAATGCATCCTTTTTTATAAAATAGCATAATGCTTGCATGTAACCACCCGTACCATCCCGTGTACTCTAAACCATCTCTAAATTATTGATAGTACTTTATACAATGTAAATGCTATGTAAATTGTTGTCATACTGTATCATTTAAAAGAGAAGAAATTCTATATATGTTTAGTAGACAGTTTTTTTCTGAATATTTTCTACCTATGGTTGGTTGACTCCACAGATGCAGAACTTATGGCTATGGTAGATGAGTTGATGTAAAAAATGTCATTTTATATCAGATACTTGAGCAGCCACAGCTTTGGTATCTGCAGGGAGATCTGGAACCAATCCCACAAATACTAATGGCCAGTTGTAACCTATATGTACCCAAAAGAGACTGATTAGCAAATTACAGTATAAGCATCAAGATAACATGATGCAGGCATCAAAAAGAATGATTTTGATCTCTATGTCCTGATATGTCAATGTCCATTATATATTATTAGATGAAACAAGTACATTGGAGAAGTGAATGCATAGTATCACTCCATTTTTTTGTTTCAAAAGATAATACCTAGGGGACCAGTGCTGTGGCATAGTGGGTAAAGCCACCACCTGCAGTGCTGGCGTCCCATATGGGCGCCGGTTCTAGTTCTGGCTGTTCCACATCTGATCCAGTTCTCTGCTATGGCCTGGGAAAGCAGTAGAAGATGACCCAAGTCGTTGGGTCCCTGCCCCTGTGTGGGAGACCTGGAAGAAGCTCCTGGCTCCTGGCTTCAGAACAACCCAGCTCGGCACATTGCAGCCGTTTGGGGAGTGACCCAGTGGATGGAAGGCCTCTCTCTCTGTCTCTCTGCTTCTGCCTCTGCCTTTCTGTAACCCCGCCTTTCAAAAACCTAAATAAATCTTAAAAAAAAGATAATACCTAGAAAATGTAGAAGAATTTTACATAAAACTATAACATTGGATTTGGCTAATGGAAAAGCACCTTTACTTTCTAATTCATGTATTTCTCCTTTTTGCAATGAATGTATATTTATTGTATAATTTTATTTTATTTATTTATTTTTGACAGGCAGAGTGGACAGTGAGAGAGAGAGAGAGAAAGGTCTTCCTTTTGCCATTGGTTCACCCTCCAATGGCCGCATGTGCCGGCGCATCGCGCTGATCCGAAACCAGGAACCAGGTGCTTCTCCTGGTCTCCCATGTGGGTGCAGGGCCCAAGGACTTGGGCCATCCTCCACTGCACTCCCGGGCCACAGCAGAGAGTTGGCCTGGAAGAGGGGCAACTGGGACAGGATCCGGCGCCCCGACCGGTACTAGAACCCAGTGTGCTGGCGCCGCAGGCGGAGGATTAGCCTATTGAGCCACGGTGCCAGCCTAATTTTATTTTTTTAAGATTTATTTATTTGAAAAGCAAGATAGAGAGAAGGAGAAACAGAGAGCTTCCATCCACTGGTTCATTCCCCAAATGTATACAACAGCTGGGGCTGGGACAGGCCAAAGCTGGACGCCTTGAATTCCATCCGGGTTCCCACATGGGTTCAGGGGCCTATGGACTTGGGCCATCTTCCACTACTTTCCCAGGTGCATTATCAGGAATCCGGATGGGAAATGGGACATCCAGAATTCATACCAGGGCTCATATGGGATACTGACATTGCAGGTGGTGGCTTAACCTTCTGTACCACAATGCCAGACCCTGTTTTAAAATACTGTAAAAAATTTTAAGGCAGACCAGCTTAAAAAGAGAATAGAGACTCCTGAGTATTTTTTTTTTTTACAGGAGTGGTTAGTTGAAGTTGCAGGGTAATTATTGATTGAAAGAAGACCTTGGCCGGCGCCGCGGCTCACTAGGCTAATCCTCTGCCTTGCGGCGCCGGCACACCGGGTTCTAGTCCCGGACAGGGCGCCGGATTCTGTCCCAGTTGCCCCTCTTCCAGGCCAGCTCTCTGCTGTGGCCAGGGAGTGCAGTGGAGGATGGCCCAAGTCCTTGGGCCCTGCACCCCATGGGAGACCAGGATAAGTACCTGGCTCCTGCCATCAGATCAGCGCGGTGCGCCAGCCGCAGCGCGCCAGCTGCGGCGGCCATTGGAGGGTGAACCAACGGCAAAGGAAGACCTTTCTCTCTGTCTCTCTCTCTCACTGTCCACTCTGCCTGTCCAAAAAAAAAAAAAAAAAAAAAAGAAGAAGAAGAAGAAGAAGACCTAAACATATAAATAATTTATATTTCAAGTGTCAAATGGACAGGATGAAGTCTTTCATTTTTTTTCCAAAGATTTATTTGTTTGCAATTCTGAAAGCCAGAGAGAAGGGGAGAGACAGGGAGTGACTTCCATCTTCTGGTTCACTTCCCAAATGCTGCAACAGCCAAGGCTGGGCCAAGCTGCAGCCAGGAGCCTGGAACTCCATCCAGGCTTCCCATTCAGGTGCCCAAGCACACGGGCCATCTTCCCCTGTGCTCCCAGGCAAATTAGCAGGGGACTGGACAGGAAGTGGAGCAGCCAGGACTTGAGTCAGTGCTCCAGTCTGGGATACTGGTGGCACAAGTGGTGTCTTCACTCCCTGCAGTACAACACTGGCACCTATTTTTTTATTGACAAAAATCATGTATATTTATCATACACAACATGACAGGTCTTTTTTTTTTTTTTTTTTTTTTTTTGACAGGCAGAGTGGACAGTGAGAGAGAGAGACAGAGAGAAAGGTCTTCCTTTGCCGTTGGTTCACCCTCCAATGGCCGCCGCGGCCGGCGCGCTGCGGCCGGCGCACCGCGCTGATCCGATGGCAGGAGCCAGGAGCCAGGTGCTTTTCCTGGTCTCCCATGGGGTGCAGGGCCCAAGCACCTGGGCCATCCTCCACTGCACTCCCTGGCCACAGCAGAGAGCTGGCCTGGAAGAGGGGCAACCGGGACAGAATCCGGCGCCCCAACCGGGACTAGAACCCGGTGTGCCAGCGCCGCTAGGCGGAGGATTAGCCTAGTGAGCCGCGGCGCCGGCCGACAGGTCTTTTTATTGTACTGTTTTTACAGAACATTAATTATAGGAGGGAAAACAAAATGTCACTGTTGACCACCATCTGCAATGTGGGAATAGCGATGATGAAAAGAACACTTCTTTTAAACTATATTCGTTGTAATAGGAATTTACCTACTAGGTGTACAGTTGAGGAATTGCTTTGAAAATTACCCAAAGTTTTTAAATATCTATTTACCCCATTTTAGCAGAAAAATATGTGGTCCAAAAGAACATCTACGCGTGGGAGTCCCTAGGGATAGGGAAGTACCTGACCGCCCTGGCTATCTCGGGACCTGTGTACATCATCCTGCTTTTCCTCATCGAAACCAGCGCATTCTGGACGCTGAAAGCCAGGCTCTCTGACTTCTGCGGGAAGCCAAGTTTGGTGAGTGCGTCCGAGTGCAAACTGCACAGACTCCCAGAAAGGAGAACACTCTGGCTGAGCCCCTGTGACCTCGTTCCATGCTGGTCATCTGTGGTGCTTCCAGGGTCTGCTCCTCAGCACAGCAGAAACAAGACCTGAGTTTCCTCAGACCAGTCACTCTTCCCCAGCTCCACGAGCCAAACAAGAAGTCTGTTCAAAGAAACCCAGAAATGAGCTTTTGTTAAAGCTTTTTTTAAAAGATAGATTTATTAATTTGAAAGAGTTACAGAGAGAGGGAGAGAAAGAGAGAGGTCTTCCATCTGCTGGTTCACTAACCAAATGGCCACAATAGCCAGGGCTGGGCCATACCAAAGCCAGGAGCCAGGAGCGTCTTCCAGGTCTCCCGTGTGGGTGCAGGGGCCCAAGGACTGGGGCCATCCTCCACTGCTTTCCCGGGTGCATTAGCAGGGAGCTGGATCAGAAGCTGAGCAGCCGGGACTCAAACCAGGGCCCACGTGGGATGCCGGTGCTGCAGGTGGGGCTTACTTCACCTGCTGTGCCAGAGCACCAGCCCCATTGTCATATCTGATATCCCTAGTTGTAAGTCCTAGTTTTCCTCCGAAGTCGATGCCGCGTGAAGTTTTCCTGATGGCCGTAGCTGCTCCTGAGATGGGGTGGTGGTGTGTCCATGAGAACCAGGGTCAGCCCAGACACCTTCCAGCCTTCCCAGGGAGGCTGCGGTCTTCATGGTTCCCCTCAGTCTCCATCTTGTGCCCTCACAGCAAGTCCTAATTTTTTCACCCTTGTCTTGGTGATGCAGGCAGTGCCGCTCAATGTGCCATCAGCACCTGAGGACCAAGATGTGGCCAAGGAAGCAGAAACTATCAAGATGCATTTGGAAAAGTTGTGCAAGAAAAATCCCCTGGTTGTTAAGGAAGTGTCAAAGGTAAAGTCAAAAGTCAAGAACATTCTCCCTCTGGGTCACGCACCAGCAGGCACTTGGCCTATTGGCAGGTGACTCAGATACGTGACTCCCCGTGGGGTTTCCTCTGGGAGTGATCACAGTAGAATTCATTGGTGTACGAGACAAAAATTAGGAACTCGGTCCTCTACTGTCTGTTGTGTGGCCCTCTGGAGGCGAGAGGCCTGGGGTGGGAGCGGGAGCAGGCAGTGCCAGAGGCTGTGCCTGATGCAGCGACTCTCCAGGATCTGGAAGACAGTTTGTGGAGGAGTCGGGGCCTCAGCCTGCCTCGTGCCCCCGAGCGTTTTAAGAGCCCCTTCCAACATCAGGATCTTGGTAACATTTCCCCAGGTTGCTAGTCTTACTGTTTCTCTATAGTTTTAGTTTAAAACTTAAATAAACCTTCCTGTAACATCAAAAGTATGCTTTGGGGATGAAAGAGTTTATCTTGGAAACAGCATTCTCAGTATGGAAGGCAAAGAGAAACCCCTCCTATCCTGCTGGGCTAGCACTGAGAGGAGGCAGCGCTGAGCCTGGGTGCAGGACAGGCCCCGAGCCCTGGGAGCCCTGAGAGCCCTGAGGCGGCCTGGACCTGTGCTAGAACAGACTGCAGTGAGCACAGGGAGCTCCCGGACTGCACCGAGGCGTCCTAACCGTGTCTGCTCTCTCATGTGTCTCAGGTCTATGAGAACAAGGTGCCCGTGGTGGCTGTGAACAAGGTATCCTTCACTGTTCAAGCGAAAGAATGCTTTGGCCTTCTTGGCCTCAATGGAGCAGGGAAGACTTCCATTTTCAAAATGCTGGCCGGGGAGAAGCCAATAACTTCTGGGGAGGCCTTTGTCAGGGGTATCAGCATCAGCTCTGACCTAGAGAGAGTGAGTATGACTACAAACAAACCTAGGGGTGTCACACAGGATTCGGGGTGGGGGGGGGGAACTGGGGTGAGAGTTGATCTCTGAAAATTCCGCGTATCCGTTTCTTTTTTTTTTTTTTTTGACAGGCAGAGTGGACAGTGAGAGAGAGAGACAGAGAGAAAGGTCTTCTTTTCCCGTTGGTTCACCCTCCAATGGCCGCTGCAGCCAGCGCACCGCGCTGATCCGAAGCCAGGAGCCAGGTGCTTATCCTGGTCTCCCGTGGCGTGCAGGGCCCAAGCACTTGGGCCATCCTCCACTGCACTCCCTGGCCACAGCAAGCAGAGAGCTGGCCTGGAAGAGGGGCAACTGGGACAGAATCCGGCGCCCCGACCAGGACTAGAACCCCGTGTGCTGGCGCCACTAGGTGGAGGATTAGCCTATTGAGCCACGGCGTTGGCCCCGCGTATCCGTTTCATCTTGACCCCAAATCCATGTCTCCATCCTGGAGCACTTCTTTGGAACTATGATACTTGCATCTACCTCTTATTTAACATTATCTCTCTTTTTTTATTTTAAATATTTAGTTATGATGAGGGGCTGGCTTTGTGGCGTAGCAGAATAAGCTGCCGCCTACAGCGCCAGCATCCCATTTGGGTGCCAGTTCAAGTCCCGGCTGCTCTGCTTCTGATCCAGCTCCCTGGTGCACCTGGGAAGGCACTGGAGAATGGCCCAAGTGTGTGGGCCTGTGCTGCCCACACAGGGGAACCCATGTTGAGTTCCAGGCACCTGGCTCCAGCCTGGCCCAGCCCTGGCAGTTGCGGCCATCAGGGGAGTGAGGAAATCTTTAAAAGATTTATTTTATTTATTTGAAAGGTAGAGTTACAGAGAGAGAAGGAAACAGAGATCTTCCATTATCTGTTTCACTTCCGCAGTAGCTACAACAGCCAGGGCTGGGACAGGTCAAAGCCAACTCATACGGTCAAACTGCATCTAATATAGGATGCCAGCGTTACAAGCAGCAGCTTAACCTGCTATGCCACAGTGCTGGCCCCTGGAAGCTGCCATCTGGGGAGTAAACCAGTGGATTGGAGAGAGAGAGAGAGAGTGTGTAACTCTGCCTTTCAAGACAATGAAAAGAAATAGTATAAATAAACTTTAAAAAAAAAATGCTGGGGCCGACATTGTGGTACAGCGAGTTAAGCTGCTGCCTACGAGGCCAGCATCCCATATAGGTGCCTGTTTGAGACCCTACTGCTCTACTTCTGGTCCAGCGCCCTGCTAATGCACCTGAGAAAACAGTGGAAGATGGCCCAAGTGCTTGGCACCCTGTACCCATGTAGGAGACCTAGAAGCTCCGAGCTCCTGGCTTCAGCTTGCCACAGCCCCGGCCATTGCTGCCATTTGGAGAGTGAACCAGTGGATGGAAGCGTGCTTTCTCTCTCTCTCCCTCCCTCTCCTCTCCCATCTCTTCCTCTCTCTCTCTCTGTAACTCTGCCTTTCAAATAAAATAAAAAAATAAATCTTAATAAAATGCTTGAGCCAGCATTGTGGCTCTGTGGGATAGGCTATCACTTGTTACACTGGCATCCCATATGAGCACTGGTTCAAGTCCTGACTTCTCCACTTCTGATCCAGCTCCCTGCCGGTGTGCCTGGGAAAGCAGTGGAAGATGGCCCCAGTGCCTGGGCCCCCTCCATCCACATGGGAGACCTGGGTGAAGTTTCAGCCTCCTGGCTTCCACCTGGCCCAGCTCCAGCCTCTGTTGCCATTTGGGGAGTGAAACAGTGGATGGAAGGTCTCTCTCTGTATATGACTCTGACTTCGAAGTGACCAAATAAATCTTTTTAATAAATAAATAAAACAGACAAGGCAGCACCTAGAATGAACCCCAGGTCAGCTCTGAGATATTTACTATACAAATGCAGTGTTATGTCAAAAGGATAAAAAGTGTAAGTCAGGTTTATACCAGAATTGTTAGGTCCAGAAATAAAATCCACCAAAATAAATCATTATATTTATCCCTAGATGCTGAAAAGGCATTTGACAAAAAACTTAGTATCAACTCATGATTTTTAAAAATAGAAATAGAATTAGAAGAAACGTCAAAGTAATACGGTGGGGGCTGTTGCTGTGGTGTAGTGGGTAAAGCCGCCGCCTGCAACGCTGGCATCCCTTACGGGTGCTGCTGGTTCAAGTCCTGGCTGCTCCACTTCTGATCCAGCTCTCTGCTATGGACTGGGAAAGCAGTAGAAGATGGCCCAGGTCCTTGGGCCCCTGCACCCACGTGGGAGACCTGGGAGAATCTGCTGGCTCCTGGCTTCAGATCAGCACAGCTCCGGCCATTGCGTCCAATTGGGGAGTGAACCAGCAGATGAAAGACCTCTCTCTCTCCCTCCCTCCCTCCCTCCCTCTCTCTCTCTGCCTCTCCTTCTCTCTGTAACTCTGACTTTCAAATAAATAAATAAATCTTTAATAAAATAAAATAAAGTAACACAGTGAAGACCACCCACCAGCAGGTTCACGTTTTATAAAGAAATATTTGAAGTATCTGCGTTCCAGTCCTGTGTGTCTTTCTCAGCTGTTGGCTTGGTGCCAGGGACAGGGATGTCCCCAGGAAGCCACATTCTGGAAGTGCAGCCTGGCCTGAGCTGTGTGGGCCCGTCTTCCTCCTCCTCCCCAAGACAGACGCTCTGGTAGTTCTGTACTCTGCACGCTGTCAGATCTTCCCCCACCCTGCGGCTGTCCTGCAGCTTGAGGGGAAGAGGGAAAAGAAGAAAAGCGAGGGGAAACAAGTTGATTATTTTTTCAAAAATAGTAGCCCACTGTTTTATGTCTCTACTTCAGGCTAGCCTGTGAACATGGTCATAGACCATAGCTATGAGTTTATAATGGCAAAAACAGAAATGACTCAGTGTGTGTGAATTTTTTTATTTTTATTTATTTATTTATTTATTTATTTATTTATTTATTTATTTATTTTGACAGGCAGAGTGGACAGTGAGAGACAGAGACAGAGAGAAAGGTCTTCCTTTGCCGTTGGTTCACCCTCCAATGGCCGCGGCGCCGGCCCAAATACATACTTTTAAAAATAAAAAAATTTGGCCGGCGCCGCGGCTCACTAGACTAATCCTCCACCTTGCGGCGCCGGCACACTGGGTTCTAGTCCCGGTTGGGGCGCCGGATTCTGTCCCGGTTGCCCCTCTTCCAGGCCAGCTCTCTGCTGTGGCCCGGGAGTGCAGTGGAGGATGGCCCAAGTGCTTGGGCCCTGCACCCCATGGGAGACCAGGAGAAGCACCCGGCTCCTGCCATCGGATCAGCGCAGTGCGCCGGCCGCAGCGTGCCGGCCACGGCGGCCATTGGAGGGTGAACCAACAGCAAAAAGGAAGACCTTTCTCTCTGTCTCTCTCTCTCACTGTCCACTCTGCCTGTCAAAAAAAAAAAAAGTATGTATTTGAGGGTTGGCATCCTGGCACAGCCGGTTACACCTCAGCCTGTGATGCCAGCAGCCCAGGTGCGCATCCTTTTGAGTCCCAGATGCTCCACTTCAGATGCAGCTTCCTGCTGATGTGCCTGGAAAGAGCAGAGATGGCCCGAATGCTTGGGCCCTGGCCATCCTCATGGGAGATCTGGATGAAGGTCCTGGTTCCTGGCTTTGGCCTGGTCCAGCTCTGGCTGTTGTGGCCATTTGGGGAGTGAACCAGTGAATGGAAGACCTCTCTCAGTCTCTGTAACTTTGCCTTTCAAATAAATATTTTTAAAAAGATTTATGTAGTGAAGGCAGAGGGCCGAGGCCGAGGCCGAGGCAGACAGCCTGTGCCTGTGTTGGAGCAGGCATGGTTAACCTGGCAGAAGTGGCCTTCCTTGAAGTGCCTCCGTGTTCTCATCTCAGGTGCGGAAGTGGATTGGCTACTGTCCCCAGTTTGATGCTTTGCTGAACTTCATGACAGGCCGTGAGACACTGGTCATGTACTCCCGGATCCGAGGCATTCCCGAGTGCCACATCAGCACCTGTGTGGACCAGATTCTTGAGGACTTGGTCTTGTACATGGATGCTGACAAGCTAGTGAAGACCTACAGGTAAGATTTGGGGCTTCCCCTGGCCACCCCGCCTCCAGGCACCAGCATAGGAGGTGGGAGTGCTGGAGGGGCCCTACCTTCCCTGTACGAAAGGGCCAGTGCCTCAGCTTCCCCAGCAATGCTTTGTGTTGGTCCTGGGCTCCCAGGCGCATTGTGGGGCCACCGCAGGGCAGAGGCGTTGCTGTAGCTGGGGACAAGCAGATGGACCGCGGCGTTATCTACCTGACAAGGCCACTTGATGAAGGGCTCCCCGTTTTTGGCCGGCTTGCGTTTTAAGCCCACAGTTAGCTCAGTCTGCTGTGTCTGTGGCACCTGAATTTCAGGTGTTCTGCTGGGAAACTTGGCGGGGTCCTCAGGCTACTGTTGCTAGGGTCCCAAAGGGCCCCTTGCGCTGAGCGCAGCGCCCCTAGAGGTGCACGGTGGAACGGCAAGCTCGGGACACCTCTGACCTCCGGCAGAGCAGGCTTGGGATCAGATGATGACGTCCTCGGCTCTTCAGTTTCCACAGGTTTTCTTGTATCCCTGTGTCCTTTGATGATCAAAGGAGTGTGCACTTGCAACGTTTAGAGCAGTGCCTTACACACAGCAAATGTTCTATGTATTAAAAAAAAAAAAAAAAAGCTTGCTAAATGGTCCTGTGCCCTATGTACACAGAGGGGAGCGTCCCCAACCCTAGAAAGACCCTCACAGAAGATTCCTCGGCTGTGTGCTCGCCAGGACCAATCCTTGTCCATCCTTGGGAATGGACACAGAGTGCACAGATGCAGCCCCCGTTCAACCTGGGGTGAAGGCGACGGGGCTGTGTTTCTGTAGGCCGCCCCTCCCCAGGTGCACAGAGCAGCACTTCCTGAACAGAGCAGAGGGGCCGGTGTTGGACAGCAGGATCACTGTGGAGGCTGATGCTGACCAGTCCCCTGACCTCTCCTTCTCTGCCTCCAGCGGGGGCAACAAGCGCAAGCTGAGCACGGGCATCGCCCTCCTCGGAGAGCCTGCGGTCATCTTCCTGGACGAGCCGTCCACGGGCATGGACCCCGTGGCCCGGCGCCTGCTCTGGGACACTGTGGCCCGGGCCCGCGAGTCTGGCAAGGCCGTCGTCATCACCTCCCACAGGTAGAGCCGGGGTGTCCCTGTGCGTCCGTGGAGGAGCCAGACGGGCTGGGCAGGGTGGGACCCCGAGGTGCCCGGAGCCGACCAGGAGACTCCCAGCCTCTGCCCACGGGCCATGCTCTGAACCGGTAGCGGCCTGGCCTGGGCGTCGGCACCTTCCTCTCCGCACAAGACTTTGGCTCTCAGGGCGGGCATCGGCACCCCCAACACTGTCTCAGGCCTGCCCCCTTGTCCCCAGCATGGAGGAGTGCGAGGCCCTGTGCACCCGGCTGGCCATCATGGTGCAGGGTCAGTTCAAGTGCCTGGGCAGCCCGCAGCACCTCAAGAGCAAGTTCGGCAGCGGCTACTCCCTGCAGGCCAAGGTCCGGAGCAGAGGGCAGCAGGAGGCGCTGCGGGATTTCAAGGCCTTTGTGGACCTGACCTTCCCAGGTGCGAGCCTGCCCGGGGCCTGCCTGAGCCGCTCCCGGCCGCTCTGCCTCTCCCACATCCCTGATCCCTGGGGCCGGACCGCCCTCCGCTGGCCCCGCCCCCTCCTCACAGGAACACGCCTGTGCTTTGTGCAGGCAGCGTCCTGGAAGATGAGCACCAGGGGATGGTCCACTACCACCTGCCCGGCCACAACCTCAGCTGGGCGAAGGTGAGCACCCTCGTGACCGAGGTCCTGTCTCTCGGGCGGTCTCGTGCACTGGCGCTGCGGCGCCCTGGCCGTGTCTGTAGTGACCTTCAGGCACATTTCATGGGCATAAGGGACTTCCGGGATCAGCTCCTACACACCTCACGTCCGAGGGGCGCCACGTGCCCGAGGTCACACAGGGAGTCGGGCCAGCCAGGCCTCTGTCCTGCCTGCACTCCCAGCAGGAAGCAGAGACTGACTTCTCGAGAGGGGCTCTGCAGGAGCCGAGGGCCCCTGGGTGCCGGCCCCAGCGGCCAGATCTCCCTGTGTCCCCTCTGGGTGCGCCGGTGAGCGGGCGCTTCCTCCCCACAGGTGTTTGGCCTTCTGGAGGCAGCTAAGAACGAGTACCAGCTGGACGACTACTCCGTCAGCCAGGTCTCGCTGGAGGACATCTTCCTGAGCGTCGCCTACCCCATGTACCGCACACAAGGCCAGGACCAGCGTGGGCAAACGCCGCCTCCGCCCCGCTCTTCAGCCCCTCCCCCAGCCCCTGCCCTTCTGTAATAAAGACTCCCTGGTGCCCAGCTGGCCCAGGGGTGCGCAAGGCCGCTCAGCGAGGCTCTCCCCGGACGCAGTTCACTGAGCAGGGTGGGCCAGTGGCTCAGCGGCTGGATGAGACCAGTGCACAGGGATACCCCGAGTCCCTGCAGTGGGCTGTGGCCTCCGCAGGTCCTCTCACCAGCAGTGACTGTTGGTGACACAGCAGTGACCACTCTGTGCCCCGTTCACATCCTGTCCCTCGGCCGTACCTCCCTCAGGGCCAGGTACGGAGCGCGTCCTGGGCCTGGCTGTGCCCTGCCCGGTGGGTGAGGGTCTGCAGGCACGGCACAGGCACGAGGTGGCCGCATGCGTGAGGCTGGCTGCTCGGTGCACCGCCTGCACGTGCAGCTTCGCCCGCGCTGGAACCCCAGCTTCAGGTTTGCCTCCGGGTGCGGGGACAGCACGCGTCTGCTGTCTGCTCACCCAGGGCAGCACTTGGATTCCTGGGCCTTCCTGGGCGTGGCCCTGGCTCGCGGGGGCTGCGCGGGACCCTGCACCAGGCCTCCCTCATTTCCCAGGGGAGCCAGTGGACTGTCCACGGCCAGAAGCCTGCAGCAGAGGTGGGGAGCCCCACACTGCAGACCGACCGCACCTGGGCGGCTGTCCGAAATGCTGGCCGGGTCCCCTCAGCCCTGTGGAGTCAGAAGTCCTGGGGCAGCGCCCAGCCCTGTCAGGGGCGCTCCTGATGTCCTGGGCCTGGGTGTGCCCTCAGGTGGCCGTTGGGCTCCCGGGAAGAGTGGCCCACAGGCCTGGCACACGTCAGCACACCCCCGACCTGTTCTGAGCAGGGGCTCCCACTTCGACCCCGCCTGACTGCGAGGGGACGCCCCGGGCCCCCAGCACCGCTCCCTCTCGACCCGACTCCCCCTCCGGGGCGGCTCATCCCGCAGCGCGACCCGCGGACCGGGACACTGTCGCAGCCTGATCACCGCCTTCCAGGCGCCAGCCAAGCCGCCCCCGGCCGCGAGGGCAGCAGTCGCCCTTCCCGCCCGGGGCCGCTGGGGCTTCCTGGCGCCGGCGAGGGCCGAGTCGCCTGAGTGCGGGGAGCGTGAGGAAGGGGCTGCGAGGGGAGGGGTGGGTGGGAGCCCGACCCCAGGGCCCCCGCGGGCCCTGCCCTCCGGGAAGAGCTGCAGGGCGGCGGCGAGGGTCGCTCCGGGGAGGCCACGTTTCGGGGTAGAACGGACCGAGACCCCAGCCCCGTGCCTGGGGCCCTGTGGGCACCGCAGCAGGCGGCGAGCGCTGGGCACGCCTGGGCACCGGGAGCGAACTTCCGAACCCGCCGCGGCGCTCGGGGACCCCGGCCCGGGACCCAGGGGGCGGGGCGGGCGTGCGGGCTCCGCCAATCAACGGCCAGCGTTCGAATTCGCGTCCCGGCCCGGCCAATTGGGCGGGGTGAGCGGGGCCCCGCGGCGCGGCCAATGGGAGCGCCGGGCGCGTTTGAAAACGAGGGCGGGCGGTGCGGCGCCATCTGCGCCTGCGCGGGGCGGCCGGCGCGCAGGAGCCGAGCGCGGGCGCTCGCGGGCGGGCTCGGGGTAACCGCGGCACGAGCGGGGCGATGGGGAGCGGCGGCGGTGAGTGCGGGGCGGCCCCGAACCCCTTCTACCTGGGATGAGGAGGGGGGCGTCACAGGCGCTCGCAGCCTCCAGCTCGCCCGCGTCCGGGACGCGCGGTTTAAATGCCCGCGGTGCGCCCGCGCCCCGGCCGGCGGCTGCGATCCCTGCCCTGAGCCCCGGGAGCGGCGGTGCCGACGATCCGTGTCGCCGGTGCGGGGACTGCGCGTGGCTGCCGTTGGAGGCGGGGGCGCGCGTGGTCGCACGCAGCGGTGCGGTCTGCGCGGGGAGCTCGCGCCTTGGCCGCGCACCTGGCGCCGCGCACCTGGCGGCTCTCGCTCGGCTGCGCCGGGCCCGGCGCCGTGGAGGAGCGTCCTGGCTGGACGTGAGCTGCGATTCCGGTGACCCGGGAGCGTCGCCGAGTGTCAGTCCTAAGACAAGTGAAGGAGGGAGCGTTCTGAGTGGTGGAGTCCGTGTGGTTCCTGGGAGTTCGTCCGCCGGTGCGCGCCTGGCTCCAGCGCTGGCGGGGAGACCCTGCGCCAGAGGGGCTGGGGGTGGCCGGGGAGCTGTGGAAGGGAGGAGGATGGGCAGGAAAACGCGAGTTCGCAGGAGAGGCAGGGTCTTGACGTTCGTGCGGACCCTCGCGATTTCCTGGGAAATGCGGAGTCGCCTCCTCTGCTCGGAGTGAGGAGGGGGCTGCGGGGCGGAGGCTGGGCCGACCGGCCGTGGGGAGACCGCTCACCTGCCCAGGTGGCAGCCCCGCCGGCCCGTGGTGGCTGCGTGGGCGTGGGTCGGGTTTTGTGTGGGATCCTTGTGGCCCTGAGCTCTGTCATTTACAGAGGATGCGGGGGTGGCGGGGGGCAGACAGCGCTGGCCTCTGCAGAGCCGGCTTGACATGTCCTGGCCTGGCCTCCTGGCTCTGCCTCTGTGAGGGGCTGCCCTCCTGATTCGGGCTCGGAAACCTGGCTGTTGAAGCCGGACGACCCGTGTTACGCATGCCCGGTAGCCCAGTGTGCGAAGAGAGGCAAAGCCCCAGCCAGGGCCCCGGGAGCTTCCCTGGGGTGAAAACCGCCCTGGGCCGCAGCTGCCTTCCCCACACCCGGCGGTCCCGTGGGCCCGGATCGAAGGTTTCCCAGCGCCTGCCACGCGCCTCCTATACGGGTCGGACGTCCGGCCGCATGAGGTGGTCGGCGGTGCTGGCATCCTGCGCGCTGGACGGGGAGTCAGTGCGGCCGGCTCACCGAGCCTTGTGGTCCTCCCCGCAGTGGTCCACTGTCGCTGTGCCAAGTGCTTCTGCCACCCTGCCAAGCGCAGAACGCGGAGGCGGCCCCGGAACCTCTCCATCCTGAGCCTGCCCGAAGACGCGCTCTTTCACATCCTGAAATGGCTCTCCGTCGGCGACATCCTGGCCGTCCGAGCCGTAAGTCCCACCGGCATCCCGGATCGGGGTCAGCGTTTTCTTTTCTTCCTTTTCGTTTTAATGTAAGAAAGCGCCCATCCTCTGGTTTACTTCCCAAATGCCCGCAGTGGCCTGAACTGGGCCAGGCTGCAGCCAGGAGCCAAGTACTCAGCCCTGGCCTCCCATGTACGTGGCAAGAACCAAAGCCCTGGAGCCATCACCGGTGTGCGCTGGCGGGAAGCTGCGGTCAGGAGCGAGCAGTAACCCAGGTGCCCCAGTGTGGGGCGTCCACATTTTAATCCCTGGGTTTATTCTAGGGAGAGGGAGATCTTCCATCTGCTGGTTCACTCCCCAGTGGCCGCAATGGCCAAGGCTAGGCCAGACCAAAGCCAGGAGCTTCTTCCCGGTCTCCCACATGGATGCAGGGGCTCCAAGGACTTGGGCCATCCTCCACTGCTTTCCCAGGCCGTTAGCAGGGAGCTGGATGGGAAGTGGAGCAGCCGGCATTTGAACAGGTGCCTGTGTGGGTGCCGGCTGCAGGGGGCGCCTGCTCCCGCTGTCCCACACTCGGGCCCAGGCCTCGTGTTCTTAAATGTCAGGACGACACTTTGCTGCCAAGGGAGGACCGTGGAAACTGGACGTCCTCAGTAGATGCGTGACGATGTTCCGATGGCAGTGACGGCACGGCAAGCGTGACTCGTCCGTCGTCATTCTAACAGAAAATACCCTCCTGCCAGTAAGATGGCCGTTGCTCAGGAAATAAGATGTGGGGCCTGCGTTGTAGCGCAGCAAGCGAAGCTGCCGCGTGGGACACGTCGGCCGGCACCCCGTGTCCGAGTGCCAGCTGAGGGGTCCACGCCCCACTTGTAGGACCCTGTCCCTGCCCCTCCAGGCCCTCGGGGAAGCTCGTTTCTGGGCCCTTTGTTCAAAGCAGCGGTCACTTTTATGCACAGCCTAGTTCCTTCCTTACCTGGATCAGGAGGGAGACAGAGACCACACATCTGTCTGCATCCGAATCCCAGGAGCCTCCGGGGCAGGCGCTGTGTGGCAGGGTCAGTCCCTGTCTCGGAATCCTGCTTCCCGGCTCCCAGCTCCAGTGCGTGGGCCTCTGCCACCCACGTGCGAGTCCCAGGTGGCGTTCCCGGCTCTCGACTTTGGCCTGGCTTTTGTGAATGAACCAGCGGATGGAGGATCTCTCTCCCCAGGTCCTTCCCTCCCACCACCCCGCCGTCATTCTGCCTCTCCAGTAAATGTATCTTTAAAAAAAAAGAAAGTGCCCCGGGAGGTGGGCTTTCAGGCTGTCCCTCAGGCGTCCGCCCTTTGCTCCCGTGTTCTGCAGGTGCACTCCCACCTGAGGGACCTGGTGGACAACCACGCCAGTGTGTGGGCGTGTGCCAGCTTCCAGGAGCTGTGGCCTTCCCCTAAGAACCTGCAACTCTTTGAAAGGTATCCCCTGAGAACGGCTCCCTGTCCTGCCCCGGCCCCGCTCTGGTCCAGGATCTGACGCAGGAGCTGTCCTGCCGCTGTTTGCCCTCCCATTACCTTGCGGGGTGACCGAAAGCTGTAGACGGCCCCCGTCAGGCCCCTTGTCCCGGGCCCCGCCTCCTGCACTCCCTGAGCGTCCTCCGAGGCCGTCGACTCGCTCCCACGTGACAACACAAGTCGTCTGCGTGCTGAGATGTTTAGGTCTTTTCCTAAAGTCAGAGCCATGTGATTCAGTCTTAATGGGTTTTACTCACTGCTGATTCTGCCCGCTCACCATCCCCTCGCCAGTGTCCGCACTGGGCCCAGTGTCCACCTGGGCTCCCGTCAACCAAGTATCAGCACCCAGCCCACTGTCCTCACGGGCTGGGGCCGCCCTGGGGCACCCATCAACCAAGTGTCCGCACCGGGCCCACTGTCCTCATGGGCTGGGGCCGCCCCGGGGCTCCCGTCAACCAAGTGTCCGCACCGGGCCCACTGTCCACTTGGCCAGGGGCCACCCTGGAGCTGCCTTGTTGTGACAGACTAGGGGACCACAGCTGGGCGGTGTCCTGACTCGGTTGCCGTGCACTCCGGAGTTCATCCCCCGGCTGCGCAGCGCCCCTGTCTGACTGCAGGGCAGCCCCCTGCCCCGTGGACACTCGCGGCCCCTCTCCTCAGCCATCCCCGAAGCCCAGGCCGCCTCCTAGTCAGCTCTGTGTGTCTGGATTTGCCTGTCCCAGACGTCTGCATACATGTGGTCCTGTGTTCTCAACGTCCGTCTGCCGTAGGCTGATACGTGACTGTTGGGGAGGGGACGGCAGGTCTAGCTACAGCTGGATGCCGTGTGTTCCTGTTGCAGGGCTGCCGACAAGGGCAACTTCGAGGCTGCCGTGAAGCTGGGCATCGCCTACCTCTACAACGAAGGCCGTAAGTGCCGCCCGGTGCCGCCACGTGGGGTGCGTGTGAGGGACACGCCCGGCTGAGCCGCGTCCCTGCTGCGGCCGGGGTGTCCCTCGCTCTCCTCTCGGGAGCCTGTGCCCAGGGCCACCTGCTGTCATGTTGGTGAGCGGCCCGGGCACACCGCCTTCCCCGGGCTCCCTGCCCTCTGGCCGCCAACACCGAGGCGCCTGTCCTCAGCCGTCTGCTCTGTGCTCTGGGGCGGAGGCGTCCATGGCACCCAGGTGTCTGCAGCTGAAGTGGGAAGCCGGTCGAGGCCGGCCTCTGCCTGGACTCCTTCACCCCCGGAGGCCAGGCGCGCCCCTCTCAGGCCCTGTGCAGCCTTCTCTTGACCAGTCCCTGCCCACCCAGGAAGTGAGCCCAGGACACTAAGGACTAGGGTGCAGCCAGCTGTCCTGCTGCTTCTGAGAGTTCTGGGGTCTCGCTGAGGGTCCCTGCAGCAGGCGGGCTGGGCGCGCCCCGCCCATTGCCCCACTCCCAGCAGCAGCGGTCCCCACACCTTGCAGGGTGCAGTCCAGCGGGTTTAGCAGAATTGCACAGCCACCGCCACTGTCCCGGCCCCTGGGTCCTCCCTGGGAAGACCCTGGAAGATGGGCTTGCCACCTGCAGGGGGCGCTTTTCCCTGATCTTCAGAATTGAGG